GTGGAAAATGGCGCGGTTTCCAGTGTATCTGTTCGCCAGATTATCATCGTACAATGACAGGAGCCGTTTACCGGTGGCAATGTCATATATCTAAAAAATATTAAAAACTGCATACAAACGTAAGACAAATATCTGTAAAAATTGAAAGAAGATAAATCAGCAACCCGCGAAGCATAGCTGCTTATCTACAGCGTATTGGCCGAGACACAAATGAGTAAACCATGTGAAGGAAACGCTGGCCTCATGCACTTCTCTATAGGTCATGTAAAGAAATATATCTATATATTGCGGTCCTGCGCAAAGAAAGCGCCGGATAATATTGTTTTGAGTACTCAAAAACTATAAAAGAAGCAAACATACGTTCGCCTTGGTGTGCTCGGTTCCGACAATTCTGTCCTGAGGCAAATTGCTAAATTCTACGAAAATATCATCTTCGAACTTCAGCCTGAATATTGCAATCACATAATAAGAAAAAAGAAAATCTTTTCAGCACAGACCTGCTCTCAAATGACTCTCCGCGCCGCCACAGAGCAGAAAAGGGTCGCACGAAAGCGGAGGAGGTGAGTAAAAGCGACTGATCCTGAAAACGAAAACGGTTAAATGTAATAGCTAAATATAATGTCCCAACAATAGGCAACGCAGTGGATAGGAATTAACAGACTAACAGAGCACAACCGACTTTGATCGTTCGCTTGCCTTCATGATCACATCCAAAACTTTTCTTGGTAAGAACTGACAGGTACAGGTGAAAGAACGGGAAATTCAGAAATAAGAACTGTGATTTGTTTAAAAGATTTGTTTAAAAATATTATACACTCTTGAAAAAGATTTGTTTAAAAATATCATACACCACAGCGACTCAAACTCGTTTGCTTTTCAAGTTTAACGTTTCATTATCTCCCTTGCAAGAGACTTTATCAGTCAAACAATAGTTCCCAGCCAAGTCAGCAGGTCGCAAAACCGTTCTTCAAGCAAATTTATGAAATACGACATCATTTGCTCTACTAATGATTTGTACTGATAGGAACCAAGGTTTTAGAAAGAATGGTTCCAATTCTGAAAGAACTTCGTCACTCTATCACGATGAGAAAAGAATGA